CCCCTTATTGGTCATCTACATTTTTTTAGAAATATGAAAATTAGAATCCAAATAATTTGCAAATATATAATGTTTATTTATATAAAAAAATAAAATAGTAAAATATAAACCTCATGCCGTATCTGAGCGAAAGTAGTACGCCCTGTGGTATGAGCTATGCCGTGAGCTCGCCGATTTTTAGCGTTCCTAGTTGCAATTTTCTATAACATTCAACAAATGTAAGTATATAAATATGATTTGTATGTTTACATATCATACATATAACTTATTTGTATACCTCAGCATCGGAAGTACGCCAATACTCCACAAGTTCTTCCCACTGGCTTGGCACAATGTGCAAAGGAACATCATCCTTCAGATTAGGATCTTCACTTCTAAGCTTGAAATACTTACACTTAATTTTATTCTTGTGATCCTTCCATATGTTGTTACAGTTTTTCATGCAGATTGGCTTGTACTCCTCTGGACATATATTCAAATTGTCCTATAAAACACAATTTCAAGGTTTAAATAATAATAACACAATTTTGGAATTTAAATTTTTGGACAAAAATATACTTTTACCTTCACATCCTTCCAGATAGCATCAAGAATATCATCAGGTACGGTGTTCCAGTCAAGAAAAGTAAGAGGAACAATGTTACCATTTCGCACAATAATGCCAAGTTGAGTAGTTAACTTAGACACGTTATCCCCTATTGGACAGTAATTTTCATCAAATTGTATGTCCAATTTGGTACCGGTACCCCACTCCCTAATGCCCTTGGCACATCCTCTACCACGCCTACTCGAGGTTGATGAAGAACTAACATGACCTGTGAGACACAATAAGAATAAACAATATGCAATGATAATAAACAAATGCAAATTTAAATAATGTCAATACAAATCAATTTCTTATACCTGAGTGAGGCTGTGAAGAAGTCGAAGGATCTGAAAAATACAATGAAAATAAACAAGTTATATGTAATGAGAACAAATAAATATATATTTAAATAATTTTCATACAAATCAAAGCAAATTTATATACCTGCGGATGGCTCATAAGCCGATGACTCTAGTCAGGATGATAGCTGCTGCGGTGCCACTGATGGTGAATGCACCGATGGTAGGCCTAGAGGCTGAGTAGATGATAGCTGATGTGGTGCCACTGACGGGGTCGATGCGGTGGCACTAATGGCCCCTCTGATGGTGCTCGCTGTGATGCCTCTTCTAATGGTGGTGCCACTGATGGTGGATGCACCAATGGTAGGCGTGGTGGCTGAGTAGATGATAGTTGCTATGGTGCCACTAATGGTGGTCGATGCGGTGGCACTAATAGTGCTCGTTGTGATGCCTCCTCTAATGGTGGCACTAATGGCCCTTCTGATGGTGGTCGATGTGATGCCTCCTCTGATGGTGGTGCCGCTGATGTCCTCTTATGTACCACATCAGACATTATGCACCGGGGATGATCAGGTTTCCTCTTCCTTCCCATAATAATCTGCAAGCAATATAACATTAATTAGAAACATAGACAATGGTTTGTCATTAACTATAATATGACATTAATTGAACTAATACAATTACAAAGACAAAGTAAATTAAGAAACTGATGATTAACTACAACCTTATCCTTAATTGAATTATTGATGTTGATTAAATATCAACCTATTTGAACATCAACTGTTTCTCCTTCTACGGCTTCCCTCACCCAACCAACTTCTTCATCACGATGCATTATATTTTCTTCCAATTGTTGGCTCATATATGGCTCGATTTGTGGATCAGTCAAATTCATATCAAATAAACCTCTTTGAGACATCTTCACCGCCACTTGCCAATCTGGTTGTAACGGGTCTGTAACATACCAAACTTGCTCTGCTTGGGATGCCAAAATGAAAGGTTCATTCGTAATTCGATCATCTCGGTACAACAAATGATTGAAGTTGACTAACGTGAAATTGAAGACATCTTGTATCTTCCCGTGAATGTGGTCAATCCAATCACACTTAAACAACACATGCTTTTTCTCATTGAAATATCGAATCTCAACAATATCTGTCAATTGTCCATAATAGTACACAGACCCCACACGAGGATTCTTGTCTTTCCAACTAGCATAACTTATGGTATCTGCCTTCAAAGATACAGCACAATTTTGTGTGGCTCGACGGTCATGCATGGCCTTTACTCGATACCGAAACCCATTCATTATATACCCGTTGAACCTCCTTGCCAGGTTATGAGGACCATTTGCCAATACAGTAATCTCTTCAGAAAATGTGACATCACTAGTCCTTCGCAAAGTTTGAATCTCATTGAAATATCGAATCTCAACAATATCTGTCAATTGTCCATAATAGTACACAGACCCCACACGAGGATTCTTGTCTTTCCAACTAGTATAACTTATGGTATCTGCCTTCAAAGCTACAACACAATTTTGTGTGGCTCGACGGTCATGCATGGCCTTTACTCGATACCGAAACCCATTCATTATATACCCGTTGAACCTCCTTGCCAGGTTATGAGGACCATTTGCCAATACAGTAATCTCTTCAGAAAATGTGACATCACTAGTCCTTCGCAAAGTTTGAACCTATTTTAAATAATAAAAATTGTAAAATTTAAAATATAGTTCGACTTAGGTAAATAGAATCTGTAAATTTAAATACATACATGTTCCTTGAACCAAATGTGAAAAGTTTCAAAATGTTCACGCCGAAGCTGATGATCGTCAACACGAGGCATTTTGACCTTAAGTTCTTCAAGGTGTTTGCTGTGTAAATTGAAATTTTATCAAAAAACAAAATTTGGTTCAAAATTCAATGAAACATAATAAAATATTGAGTGAGTGACATAATGTCACGACCCAAACCCGCCTCTATAGGTTTAGCGTCGTAATCGGCCAGTAATCCTCGGACTACCGAAGGCCTCTGAACAGATAAGCATATGATAAGGGGCTAGCGGAAGCAATATACAAAAATTATAAATGTCCAATGAGCTGTGTTGATTTACATGAAACAGAATATTTTAAAACTTTATATACATAACCATAAGTCAACCATACATTATATTATACCCACACACATTACAGATTCTTAAGTACAGCCAACAAAATTAAAATAAAGTCTCATGCATATACAGAACTAATCAAAACTTGAGCCTAAGACACTTCGGGAACCTCCTCGTGAGGCACAGTGGTTGGCTGACAACAGAACAGAACTCCAGGCAAAAGCCTTCGGGCTTGCACTCCAGAATGCTCACCTATATACATATATATACAAACAGTGAGTTAAAGCCCAGTGAATAACATTAAGGTAAAGGGGTTAGTGAACGAATTCCGAACATTTCATACGTATAAAACAGATCATAGCATAATCATAGTCATCTCATATCAGAACATAATAATGGCATATCCCATAGAACATATCGAACATATCACATGACGTCTTCCGACTAGAGTAACCGGTTCCGGATATCGATTAAACACATATCACCACAATGAAGTGGCTAACGAGATCTCGTAACTGTCATGGACCCGCATTTTCATGCCGTCCCCCATGACTTGGGACTATCTATGGATGCCATAATAGATTTCAAACTTGGAATGTTCGTTCAAAGAAACATGTATCATTTCAGAAAGCATAGCTTATCACATTTCATTTGGAACATAATTTCATATAAACGTATCTTTACGATAACGTTACTCACAGTGGTTCCTGTAGTCAATCAGTCAATCTCCAGACGTTGACCTACAATCACAAAGGCACATAACACAACGTATCTTATCATTACACATTCAACTGGCCAACACGGCTTAGCTTACATCACGTTGGGTCATGTTCATTCTTATCACGTGGCTTAGAACACACACACCCTTGTATTCTCTTTAACTTAACACATTCATTTCTTAGTGTGTTTCTAACCCATAACCTCATTACTAAGGCTTATTTAGGGCTTAGGAATGCCTAAGATGCAATGAGGATGCCAAAACATGCCTTAGAACACTTAGACAAAATTTTTGAAAATTAGGTCCTCGCTCAAGCGTAGGTTTCCTTACTTGAGTGGACATGCAGAAATGGAACTACGCTCGAGCGTAGACTTACTCGCTCGAGCGGACATGCAAAAATGAAAGGGGCCGCTCAAGCGTGACTTCCTTCACTCGAGCGGCCTGCAAACTTGGAAAGAGTACTGGTTGGTCGAAAATCACGCTCGAGCTACAACTCTCACGCTCGAGCGTATAGACAACATGCAAAGGGTTCGCTCGAGCGCCAAAGTGGTCGCTCGAGCGGAGAGTTCATGTTCTGAAAAAAAATACTGGGAGTTCGAAATCTCCCCTCGAGCGCAGGTTTCCTCGCTTGAGCGGACTGTAAAAATCTGGGTTTCTAAAATCAGAGCTTGAGCTTCAAATGTTGTTTTCATGGCTATGCTCATGCAAGGCTTGATCAAAACACTTGGAAAACGTTACTATAACACAAATACATAGTCCTTTTCAAACTTTTAGCTCAAAGCTCATGGATTTAACAAATTTGAACTTGTAGGCTCATGCATGGAAGACCTTCAAACCATTGTTTTGATTTCCTCAAAAACATGCAAATGGTGAGTAACACACTCATGAATTCTGAAACTATGAACATGATGAAAGCTCATGCATGCAAGGACCTCACAATTTCAAACTCAAAGTGATGGGACCAGAAGGTTAATCACCAAAGATGCACATGCAAGGCACCTACAAACCCAAAGACCCACTCCTCAAGTTAATTTCGTGAAAATGGTTCAAAGATGAGTCAAAATCATGATGCATGGAAGTTAATTTGCAAAACATATGCTAAGGGTTCTTACCTAGAGCCTGATTCCAGATGTGTGGGAATGAATCCTCTCTGTTTCCTTGTCACACCCCAAACCCGCCCCTAGAAGTTTGGGTATGACCACTACAGAAACGGACACTTAACCTGTTATATATAACATATGGGGCTTGAATGGAAGCATAAATTTTTATATGATAACATGCAAGAAAAGAGCTACATCCATTGAGTGACCACTATCATGCCAGGATCACAAACAGACAGATAATAATAGTTACACACACATATACAACCTCGCCCGTGTTTGGGCGTATAACAAAAAAAACATTAGAATTTACAACATATTATGGACAATCAGAATGTAAGCCAAAACTTCACAAAACGAGTAGGCTTCACCCAAATGCTTGGATACACAGAGGCTAACAAAGGGAGACGAGCATTAAGAGTTGTGGCTGACCTCCAAACGCAGGACCTACGGAATCAGACAAAATACAGAGTGAGATAACCTTAGTGAATAATAGTACTTGAATAATTCAATGTTTAACTTGAATTATAATGCAAATCAGAGCGTATATAATATAAAAGACAGGTAGTTAATCTGATTCTGTACTAATGTCAGAACCGCCTTGGATCCGGCCTTTAAAACAAAGTGGCTTTATTTCCAAAGATTTCACAAATTGGCCCTTGGCCTAATAGGTTCACAAGTTCACAAATTGGCCCTCGGCCTCATAAGTTCACAATATCACAGATTGGCCCTCGGCCTCATAGGTTCACAATGTCACAAATATTCATAATTTCACAAATTGGCCCTTAAACAGAACGGCATTAAGCCCAGAATGGCATATAGCCCTTTTCATGTACGTATGAACTCAAGAGGTGGCTCGTACGGATTCTAGAGGTGACTCGCATAGCAGCACTTAGTTCCGTGCAGCACTTTGTTTCATACTAACAGATCAGACAGAATGGCCATAGGCCTCATAACTTTCACAGAACGGCCACAGGCCTCATAACTTTCATAGAACGGCCACATAACTTTCACATCGGCTTTAAGCCCAGTTTACATATGTATGGAGTCAAGAGGTGGCTCGTACGGATTCTAGAGATGGCTCCCACCAAAGTGTAGCACTTAGCTCCGTATAGCACTTTGCTCCATATCAGAAATACATAATGGCCTCTGGCCTAATAGTTCATACAGAAGCACATAGTTCCTTCTAATTATTCACATGAGTTAACATAGTTACGTTATGTTCAACAGAGTGCTAATAGTAGCTATTAACAGATTGTACTTCATAATGCACTCAC